CGCTTTTTGCCCCAGCTGTTCTCTTACAAGCCCTTTACGGGGGAAGGTGGAGGTTTGCTTTGCCGTAAGAAACTTCTCGGAGGACTTAGGTAGTCTCTTGTTCTTGGTACTTGCTCTTCGGCCCCCCCAACCGTTTACTTTAGCTCAAGGAGAAAGAAGCAGCGTTTGCTTTTCCGGGTGCGATCATTTATTTGCTGCTGAGGCTTGCTCCTACCCACCTTCCCTAACACTAAGAAACATTGTTGTTTTTCATATTTCTGGCATCAGTTTATCGACCAGCTGAGGCCTAACCCCCAGGTGTTCAATCAGCATTAATAACACCCAGCAGTCAGTAACTGGCAAAACAAAGGGAGGCTTTAAAAGACAAAACAAAAAACCAATCACCTGTAGGATATTTAACTCTACCCCTTCCACAGCTGTTTGAAAGAATCGAGAAAGAGTAGCTAAAATACGTATGACCTTGTTAATTTATTAATTCCTCTACCACATGGAATAGATGGGGTTGCTGTTTTTTTTAAACATGGGGAGGGTGAAGGTGGGAGTAGAAGAACGTGACCTGGATGCTGGGACAGGGTACACCACCAGCAAGTTCGCAGACGATACAACAGGCAGGACAATTGGTTCGACAGGAACCTCACGAAGTTCAGCAAGGGGAAGTGCAAAGCCCTGCACCTGGGGAGGGATAACTACCCGCTGGAAGGCACCTCTGCAGAGCAGAGAATGGATTCTCCAGCTGTGGAGATACTCAAAGCCCAAGTAGACGCGGGCCTGGGCACCTGGCTCTAGATGGCCCTGCCTGAGCAGGGTGGTGGGTCCCTTCCCACGTCTGCCATTCTGTGGTTCTGAGCACAGGCCTCAGCATTCCAGAGCAGCAGAGGGGAGGTGGGACCCTGCTTCCAAAATTCCAGTTCTGTTCTCTGCCCATCATGTCCTGGTTATACTGTGCAAGTCTGAAAAGATTTCCTATAGAGGGAAAACAAAAAAACCCCAAACCCTGCATTAATCTGTTGGAAAAGATTAAAATCAATGCCTAACACCTACTTCCCATTGGTTGATACAGTAGGTTGCCTCTTCATGTGGGATTAACTCCCGATTTGCAAGAAGGTGTGTCTCCTCTGCTGCCCAAATGCTAACAACACATGGGCAGATGACAACTACTGTATGCCCATACATGCTGTAGATCAGATCCTTATGTCACTTTATATAAAAAAAAAAAGGCAGAAATAATGAAGCTTATTTTCTTATGATGCAGGTATCATATCCTACCTTAGAAATAAAAGGGGGAAAAAACACAAGTATCAGCAATGCTGAATTTTTTTAATTGGTTGGGGGGGTTTCTGGTTTGTTGGGGGGGGTTGTTTGTTTGTTTTTTAAATACACTAAAAGCTTCTCATCTGCCATTTTATTGCACTAGACCATGATTCTGATTTGATAAAAGTCAGGAAACATTCAGTACTCTACTCTTGCAGAACACATATTCTTCTGTAGCAGGAACAGAGTTACACAGAAACATACATAACATGTCCGTGTTCTGTATCTTGTAGTGGCCATTAACAGCCACACCAGTGGTCACTGTTACTGTATAACACTCTTGAACAAATCACAGATTTCTCATACATAAAGTTTAATGAAAGACAAATAAAATCCAATTCCTGTTTTACAAATTAAATATTGTAATAAGGATATTTCCTTAAATCAGACTTGCATTTCAAATAAAATCTCAGCTACAGAGACCAATAAATACAGAGCTGCAAAGCAGAAAATTAAGTCAGTTTCAATGAGGTATCACTGCCTACAGCTACAAAACTGTTGTCTCAGCCTGAATGGTCCCAACTTTCTGGAAAACATTTCTATACTTCAAATTCCTTAATGCTAAAAAACACAACTCATCATCTTCTCATGCACAATTTCTGGTTTTAAATTTGTGGGTCCAACATCTCTTTTAGAAGTAAAATCTGTTACGGCACTGTGATAATGTCAATACAAAATACACTTTCCACTCCTCAAGGATGATGAAGTACATGCTAGTCTTACACAGTCTCATTTGGGCTAGCAGACCATGTGTCAGTTGGTCCTATGGCAGCTTAAAGCAAGCCTGTGGGCACTGCTAGTTTCTGAAAGGGAATCTCACAGCTCAGTAAGCAACACTGCCAGCAGTGCATTGACTACTGCGGTAGGCAGGTTCAGCGTGCTTTGTTGCTGCAGATCCATCAGCCCATTCCAGATGTAACAATTATGTCTCAAGAAAGTTTATCACAGTGGCTCTTTTCACATAGTCTGAAGCTGATAAACTCTTGAACCCTTTTTCAAAAGATAACCCTGGTCATTTAGGGATCCAATAAAGCTTTCAAAATCAGATACCTGGGGGGAAAAAAAAAACAGACAAAAATAAATATCAAATTGGAAGATTGACATTTTATCTGATGTAAAGCAACATAAACTGTTTGAAAGAACTTAGTGAAATAAAGTGAGCTAAGAATAGGTTAGTTTCCTTAGCAAACGGCTGACCTACTAGGAGGTGGCATACTGTCAGTTGCACCTTTTGTGCTTTACTTACACACTTGAAGGCAGGCAGAAAATATACAGAGTAACCTATGTATAAATCTAAGTTCTGAAACACAAGTATCTGCCGAAGAAAAGTCTGATTTCCACAGCACTCGCTGATTTCCAAGTATTAGTTACAGGTATAGAACTCTGAATGGGCAAAAAATATTCTATATGTAAAGGGAAAATTAGAATTAATTGAATTGGCTATAGGTAATTAGTCGCTGAATGAATGGTCACGTGAGAAGAGAGCTGGCAATAACACGTTCTGTCAGACACGATTATGTGTAGTCAATATTTGAACAAGTTTGGAGACTGAAGCTATCTCGCCCCAGCAGGCCAAAGGAGGTTAACCAGGCGATAGAAAGAACAGCATTATTGCCCATAATAAGTTCCACAGAGAGAAATTAATTGTCACTACTTTTCATTCATTACACGTGAAATCCAGTTTTAAGTTTTAAATTGGCATTTAAAGCTATTGATATTTGTGTTTGGCTGAGTCCCCCACAAGTACAGAATGCAAATCAATTACAGGATAACACACATTTGTGGCCATCTGTCCTACATGTTCCTATCAAGTTC